GGGGCTGGGTGGCAGTGAGTGGTGGCCAGACCAGCTCTGCCTGGCCCACCCCTGACAGGCACCAGGGCTGAGAGGCAGCGGGTTCTTGCACTGCCCTCTACCCAGGGCAGCAAACACCTGCTGCCTCAGCTGCCAGGGTCAGTGCCTGGCTGCATCACTTGCTGCAGTCCAGGGTCTCAAGTGCACTGGTTGCCTTCCAGGCCGGCGCTGGAGTAAGCCTGTCTGGAAACTGTGCAAAGCAAGAGGCATCACGGCCAACAGTGCATCCAAGGAGGCTAGGAACAGTTGCATGCACGGGTCACCAGGCCCTCCTGGCTTCCAGGAACAACCGGGGATGTGTGAGCCCCACAGTACTGTAAACCTCTTGGACACAAGGTTGAGACAACCCCCCTGAGACAACCCCCTTGGATAGAAGGACCCTGTCAGCATATGCAGACTCTCAGACAGGGGCTGAGAGCATCAACTGTATCTTGCTTGGATTATTGTCCCTTCCCTCCCCCAGACATATAGATCGATTGTTTCATGGTAGAGAGGGACACTTTTATTATCCCTGTCCTCTAAAATGGATGTCGCTTTGGTGGTTTATCTGGAAAAAAAATACTGCTTTCTGGGGAGAGGAATCAAAAAAACAACCAACAACCCTGCTGCTTTGAAGCAGTTGCTTGCACTTGTAGAAACAAAGCGGCTGTGCTGCCAGGCAGGAGAGGATTAGATATTTGCTCATGGGAAGTTGGGTATGGTTAGAGAGTGTACGTGTATGTGGATGTGTGCGTGTAAGTTTGCCTCGGGTCATGAAGATTGTTAAAAATGAGTCAGATTTGCTTGACTCTATACTAACATACTGAGACAGAGTATGTAATTAGGACAAACACAAACCTGAAAGCCGCAGTGCAAGACAGAGGGGGGTACAGACCTCTTTTTTATATTGTAGAGCTACCAACATTTCTGCCATTGATGGGCTCTCATAACTTGAGATGCTAAATACTCACTTGCCTGTTTATATTTAAGCTGGTAAACTGTCCCACTGATTTCAATAAACTTCTGTGAATTAATTATAGGGTTTTATATGATTCCTACCCTGGGATATAATGGGATAGACAGATTTGAACTTCTGACAGAAACCTATCACTGACATTCTAGCCCTCTGAAATCCCCAAGAGATTTTATTAAAACAATGTAAATGGCAAAATAAAGTTTTACCTTGTCAATGTAATTGTAAATGGGCAGGGAAATACTTGTGATCTGACAAATGCGTTATCTGTGGGAACACTGTTTGCTTTTGCAATTAAGCAACATAAAGTTTAGTTAACTGATTATTTGTTAAAGGGATACTGTCAAATAATTCACATCTCCAGAAGAGATTATATAAATATAGGATCTGACTATCTTTAGGAAACCCTGCAAAATCTTCCACTGTAACAGAAGCAAGCTTCCTAGCATTGCTCATTCCCATCTTTGCCCCTCCCTCCCTCTACCCCACCAAAAAGAAACCACACCCCAAGCAGAGCTAGAAAAAAGCAGACCAGCCACTCTCTGTAGGTATGCTGGCAAAGGTGGAGTCCCTACCGTGGAAAGACTCAAGGGTGCTGAGCAGCAATAGAAATGCTCAGATAGATAAAAATGTTTATGGGTTGGGGTTTTTCAAGTTTTACAAAACTAGTTCAGCTCCATAAAATCAGAAAAAACATGTTTGTGGATGAATAAAAATACTATCTGTGCCTTGTTTTCATGCCAAAAACTGCAGCATCGGGCTATTGCAAAGAATCAACAAAATGAAACTGACCTGTCACTTTCCATCATCTAATCTGAATGAAATGCCAACATGTAAATAAATAGTATTCCTACTGAAAAGTTACTTTAAAATTAATTTGCCATCATTTTATGTCTGGTGACACTGGTGAATGTAAGCGACACAGGGCCTCTCTGACATGCCACAGAGGATGTAAATTCTTAAAGCCACTAGCCACAGAATATTGGCTCTGGCTCAAGTTACATCAATTCGTACTTTCAGTTCTGGGAGTCCCTGGTTCTAACAGATAAGATTATATTTTTAAATTAATTTTAATAGATTAGACTGGTGTATATGTGTCTATTATATATAAAGATATAGATCTATCTATCTATCTATCTATATAAAACAACCTACTTTCAATAACAGTATACATTCATTTTACCTTTCAGTATACAGACATTCATTGATTTCTTCAGTACGATTGCATTTGACCAGATGCAGGGGAAACTTAAACTGGGGCCTGTTGCCTGTTGAAATCATTCCCATATGAGCTACAGTTTAGGGCTGACAAAAAATGGACATTTAAAAATAGTGGAAAGACTCTGATTGACTCAAAAAAAGGAGGGGGCAGATTTTACGGCAGTCACTGTAGCCTAAGACTTGGGATGGTTTGGGTGAGCTTTGGCACACCTGTTATGGTCGGATCTTTCAAGACATTTAGGTACCTAATTCTAATCCTAGATTGCAGTCACAGTTGCCTATATGCCTATGAGAATTTGGGCATTAGCTTCTCTGAGCTCCAGTGTCTGGGGAATTGGGAGAACCCAGTGTTTCTGAAATACCACACATAATAAATGGATGGTGGAGTATAAGGAAAACTCTCTGCTGCGTCAAAGACTGGATATCTGTCCCAGACATTATTGTTTCTTCTCAAAAACAGGAAGTCCTACATATTTTGTCATCTTGGGCAATTTTCTGTCTCAAACAGCATGGAAACAGGAAAGCTCATAATGGACATGAATGGTTTTATTTTGCTCTACCATCATTGGATCCACGATTTACAGACTAAGAGCAATATAACTTTACAGAAAAAAACCTTGAACTCTTTGGCTTGCTACAATGGCATTACATGGTCTATTACTTTCATTATAGCCCTTGTGACCCACATCCTGTAAAAGATTATACCATTTGAATATCTTTATTTACTTCGAGGACCCACGCACATGCTTAATTTTAAGCATGTAGCTAGTTCCACTGGTTTCAAGTCAGGCAGATTCAGATGCATACCTTTGAAGAAGTCTTTGAGGCCCTTCTTGGGAAAAGCCAATGTCTCACTAAATGTATCCAGACTCTTAAGATACTCCTTGTAAACATATTCCTCAAAAGAAATTTTAAAAAATCAGTGCTTCCTTCACCTTTGACTTCCTTCACCTTTGAGGAGCTGCCTGTCACCCATTTCCCACCCACTCCTGTGATCTTCATTCAGTTCTTGCCTAATAACTGAACTGGTAAAAGTAACAAAGTCCTCTGTTCACCTTACATATTATCTGTAAGCAATGTGCATTGGCTGAGGCACCTCAAGCTTTCCCATACTACTTAAACCAATCTGTATGGGTAAAAGGACAGCTAATTCTGCAAAATGTCAGTCCTTGGTTTTGCTGCTTAGACTGCCTAAAAAAGATATCAGTTAGTATATGCCATATGTGTGTGTGTGTGTGGGGGGGGTGGGGGGTTCTTTTCTGATATGGACACTTGTTAAGTATAAGTTGGAACAAGAATATCAACTTTGTTTTTTAAAGATTACCACTCAGTTAAAAGAGTGTAGCACTTCTGTTTGCTCTTCATCTGGTTTATGCAGATTTTAAAATTTGTTGTCATAATTTCTGTAAAGTTTCTCTAACAAGGAAGATTATCAACCCTGGAATAAACTACCAAGGGAAATGATGGATTCCCCATCTCTTAAGGCATTCAAGTTATGATGGGAGACCATTCCCAAAGAGATACTTGAGTCAAAACCAAAGTATTGGCCTCAATACAGCAGAAAAATTCCCCTGGATTAAATTCTATGGCCTTTGTTATACAGGAGGTCAAGATAGATGATCTAATGGTCTAATCTAGACCTTAAAATCCCTGAATCTTATACTAAAACTGCATTTAAGATAGCTAAGCTGGGAATAAACCTTAAAAGCAACCAAATCTGGATAAATGGGAAAATGGATGTTGTTTCCCAAAGGGCACCTTGTTACCAGAGATGTTGAAGGACAAACAGTTCTGCCTTTGTGATATTGCCTTCTGATGCATTGTTTTAAAGTGGTTGGCATGGGATTGTGTTTAACTTGCTAGTGCGAGAAAGGACAAGGATTAATATTTGTGCTATGAATGTTATTCCACACATTTTTTAAACTACCAAATGGAATTTTCTGACTTCATAATTACACATCCTAA